GGTCTCTTGAGGAAGCGGGAAAGTGCTGGCGGGCGGTGCTGGAGAAGCCTGAGGGGAAAATCCCGGTACCGGCGTGGCGGAAACCGGCCGAGGACTGAGGCGGCCGGGAGGGCGCGCTGCAGGGCTCTCCTCAGCCCCAGCCGGCAGCTTCTTCCGCTTCTTCCCAGCCAAAGACACGCTGCCTGAAAGAAACCTCTACTACCATTAAAAACTGGTAATCACAGCTGCAGCCTTCTGTCTCCCTAACCACTGGGGACAAGTTTTCATCGGTGGAAGAGCCCAACATAGTAACGGCATTACCGAGGTCCTCTGTGAGGCTTCAAAGGACCACAGGCCTTTACTGGTTAGCACCATAAAACCAGAGCTTGAGCTATGGGTAGAAATCAGGATTGAGAAGTCAAAATTAGTCTTTTGGACCTAAAAGCTGTGAAGGGAACCTGATGGCTGCCAGGATGTTCCCTTAAAGCGAAGGGAGAGGGGCGATGAGGAGCGGAGCAGGAGCCTGCCGGCCCTCAGCAGGGTTTCCCCTCAAGGGAATGCCACTGACCTTTCCTGTTGCCTCCTGCATGGACACCTTTTCATCTGCAAAGACTAAATCCTGCTTGCCGGGTATGAACACACCGAGTAGGTGCAGGAAGACAGCTGAGATTTCTTCAAGACACAGTTTGAGAACCTCAGGATTCCAAGAATTTTTGTAGTAACAAGGTGCCTACCAATCTAGTTTGTTTACTTTGTTTTGCTGTTATTTTTGTGGCACACATAGGAAAGACTTTCAAGAATTGCCCTGTAAACCAGTTTTGCCCAACTGATAACGGTTCATATTAGAGCAACGCATACCCTTTCCAGGTCAGTGGTGTGATCGGAATGAAGTATACCAGCTCTCCTTTTCATTATTGGGGCCTACAAGGAAGCTGGGGGGGACCTTTGACAAGGGCCTGTAGTGACAGGACACGGGGTAACGGGTTTAAATTGAAAGTGGGGAGGTTTAGATTGGATATCAGAAAGAATTTCTTTCTGGAGAGGGTGGTGAAGCAGTGGGACAGGTTGCCCAGAGAAGCTGTGGATGCCCCATCCCTGGAAGTGTCCAAGGCCAGGCTGGATGTGGCTTGGAGCAACCTGGGCTAGTGGAAGGTGTCCCTGCCCATGGCAGGGGGGTTGGAACTGGATGGGCTTCAAGGCCCCTTCCAACCCAAACCATTCTGGGATTCTATGATTATCACAGGGATGCAAAAACTAATTAAAGATGACGGCAACAGAAATAATACACATCAGTTCTCCAAGTACTACAATCAGAAGTTTTAACTGTCAGTTTTGATTTATAAACAGCCTCACAGATGTGACTGATCGCATTCACAGAATAGTTACATCGTTACAAAGGGAAGGTTTACAAAGCCCATTAAAAGAAGAATCAAATATTCATGACCCAAGTTAGCTGCAGCATGGAATTGTGTTGCGATTGTCCTTCCACTTTGTCCTCCTCTCTGCATTAGTATTTATGCTTTCAGAATTTGGCAGGAAGCTTCATCTTCTTTTCAGTCTATTTAGAATAACAGAAATATTAGACATCAGACTTCACATTCTAAAAATAAACTGACTTGGCTTAGCTTCTAGTACCACAGATGACATCAATACAAACAATCAAAATGACCCTTTGAAGTGTGTTTTTCTAAAGAGCCTCTGACTGATTTCAAGTGTTGATGTCTAAGTAATACACTAGAAGTGTGCTTGAGAGAGTGCACCTCCAAAAGCTGCTTAAGGGGGGAAAAAAAATCATAATTTCCTTAACAACCCTGGTATGTGATTGTTCTTTCATATACTAAATTCTCAAGGTGACAGTACGCATCTCAGGTGAACTCAAGTGGTTTAATTACACTTAAATACCAGTTGTTTAAGATCTTAAGAATATGTGATGCTACTAAAAAAATTGGATATGGTTTTTGCCTCACAGCGTTCTAACTTATGCTCTTGCCAAGTTAGTTAAGAGTTCTGTAGGTCTTCTCCACATGCAACTGGGTAAAAAATTGTTTCATACCAATTTGTTTTCCATTAAGGGATTTTCCAGTATAGTTACGGGCAAAACTTACCCTGTGAAAGGAAGCAGAAGCTTCTAGCTCAAACGACGTACACATTCTCCTCTCTGTGAGCAAGTCAGATGGTATTTTGTGCTCTAAACTTTGATTGAACACCTCTATAAAGCACTTCTTACTCTCGTCTACAGCTGGTATTGTCATATGGCAAGATCAATGCCAGCTGAACCTGCCTGCTAACAAATCAATCACCACGTTTAACACCGAGTTTATCCATCACCGTATTTCTTAACTTTCCTGCGCTTGGCCATCTCCGTCCACACGGCAGAGCTCATACTATTTTCTTGCCACTTGAGAAGAAATGCAAAATGTAAACAGCAGCATTTGTATAGCTGGTTTAGAGGGAATGTTTATGTGAAAAGACATAGTAGAACTGTGCAGTTTGAGTATTTCTGGGACATAACACTAAAGTTTTTAAAGAGAATGAGAACTGTGTTGTTGGGGAAGGGGAATTATAAATGTACAGCAACGTTTCTACCTAAATCTGGTTGTTAATTTGAAGACAAAACATTTAATATAGTTACATGGGCTTTCTTACCTTGGGGAGTCAATGCCACTGTCTCCTGTAATGCTGTGGTTTTCTGTCCCTTCCGAGTGTTTCTGTCCCAATATCACGGTACATGCATTCTTAAAAATCGGATCTTTTTTCTCTTGAGGGCTTCTACTTTCTTTAGCCTGTGAGCCAAAATGTGCCGCTACTTCACCTGTCTCGTAGGTAGAGTTCTGCACAGCGTCTGAGCCAGCCTCATGAGCGTGGCAGAAGTCCACCTCAGACGGCGCTTTCGCACCTTCAATAAGGCCAGTTTCTTCTTCCTTTCTGTGACCTGTCAGAAGAACCTGACTGCACAGACAACTTTCTCCTGTGAAATCTGGTTTTGGACGCTCTTTTGAGCCATCTATTGATTCTGCAAAACTAGCACTTTCCTTACATCCATGCTCTCCAGAGTCACCTTTATTTACAGTTGTGTCGTACTGAGTGGGATAAGTACTGACTTTCCAGGTTTTTAGGGGTGCAGCTGCCCCCAGCTTTTGCACAGCTTTACTCCAGCCTCTTGTGTCTGAAAAAGCATGGGCAGGAGGGAGGTGACGTGGTTCATTGCCTTCGGAATTGTCATCCAGATGTAACCAGTCACAGGTATCACCATCATGTGCTTTTTGGTACCGAAGCTGGCAGTTATCAGTAAATCCTACGCTTTCCAGCCTCATTGATCCAGGATGGCTGGCACTGTCATATTTAAATATAACTTCACTCTTCTTATGAGTCGTTTGTCTGTATTTCACACCTGTTTTTTTTACCATGTTAACATTGGCTGTATAATTTGAAAGATGGACATTTCTAAATTCGTTTGCTGTTTGATCTAATAACTCACACACAGTGTCAGCTTTGCAGGGTCCATCTTTCAGATGTAATGAGAAGTTTGCATCTTCTTTGCACACACCACTACCTTCAGTGTAGGAATGAGGGGTTTTTTTAATATCCCCATGATTTTTTTTACTGTTCTGTAGATGTTTTCTTCAGAAATATCACTCTCCAGGAAGTATTTACCTTCATTATCTATTTGCAACGCACTGCCTTGTGGATAACTGAAGTTTCCACTAAAACTGTCTGTCTTTAGTTGGAGGGAAGACCCATTAGCGTGGAGCAGTTTGCTTTGCTTAGCTCTGTTAGCCTGCGGTTCGGTAGCCTGCTGTTCGGTTTCACAGTCAAAGGGTTCTGGGGAGTCCAAGGACCGTGGCCTTCGTAAAGCCCTTCCTGGCTTTCGAGTCCTGGTCTTCAGCTGGCCGTTAGTAGTACCTCTGCACCCTTTCACGTAGAAGTTGTGTCTCCATGACAAACCCTGAAAAGGGTTCTTAATTTGTTTTTTATATATGACATCAGATTCCACTGCTACATCTGATGGCTGTTGGTTTCTGATAGGCAGTGAAAGGTGCCCTTCCAGTTTCTCATCTCGGGCTGTTGGCTCACGTACGTGAGATGTCCTGTTGCTTCTGCTAACCTGCTTCTCTTGCTTTGATTTTGTTTTCCTGGTGTGTTTTGCTGGTTTACTTCGTGTCTTTTGAACACAGTCCTGTGAACGACGGCTTTGCCCGACTACTGGCACTTCAACCGAGGTACCCTTACTCATACACTTTTTCTGCTCCTCAAACTTCTGCATTAATATGGTGTGTTTAATCAAATTATCAACTGTAAGAGTAGGGTTAATACTCTTGATTTTGTGTTCAATATCACGCGGAATATTGTCTAAGTCATCTTCATCCCTGACGGGCCACTCCTTAGGAGGAAACTGGGCTGAAAAAGTGGAGTACTCCTTCTTCCATTTTTCTTTTTTAGAAGCACTTCTCCAGAAAAGGCCAAACCTTTTTTTTTTTTGTTTGTCTTTCACAGATGTCAGGGATTTGATGGTGTCCCGGGAATGGTTTTCAGCAGATGTGGAGATCCCTTGAGTTGGAACTGAAGGCTTCAATTCACTGCAGCCTTTCTTACCTTCTCCATTAGGTTCACGGTTCCTTACCTGACGTCTTTGTTCACAGAGCATATTCTGCTCAGGGAAGCAAGGGCAGGTTCTGTAATGGGATACCGTAGGAATGTTTTCTCTCCCTAGGCCTGCACAGCACTCAATGTTTACCAGGTAAGTGACGGAAGGCAGTGAACAGCAAGAACCGTCCTCCAAGGGGACCCTTCTGTTGTTTTCCCGAAATCCTTCTCCCGTATGGGAGGTTTTCCTTTCTTTAATTAGAGGGCCAAGGATATTATATAAGATGCTGTGGGAGGCAACTGCAATGCCTACAACAAAGATACAGATATTTGAAATCAGAAATATGTTTTCAAATAAAATGGGGTCTGGCCAAAAAATAACTCACATAGAACAGATCTGGAAGCAACTGAACATCAAATACCCAATGTATTTAGTTCACAGGGCTCCACAGGATTTTTTTTTTTTTAAAGTCACTACTCTGCTGAGCTTCCAGAGGCAGTAATTGTTGTTGTACCTAGCTATCCCCCTCCCACACCCCGGGGCTCCCTGCAGAACAGGGACACCCCCACTCTGCAGCAGTGTCCACACGTGGAGGGCAGAGGGTGCTGCCCCAAATCTGCAGCCCTGAGTCGGGGAGAGCCCTCCTGGGCCAGCCAGGATAGGGCAGCACCGAAACATCATCCAGCTCTGGTACGTGCAAGCCCACCGGTGTCTCACAGATCTGTGAAACCCTTGTTAAAGCTGCCAAGGCTGTTCCTCCTTGATGAGGCAAGGTCACTCCTGAGGAAGAAGGTGAAGGCCCACTGCATTTCTGGTGGTCACTGCAGCACTGCTGTGATGGAGCTTAGGATGTTCTCCTTCGAATAAGCAAGGATGTTCTCTGTGTCTGCCAGGATATGACATTCACGAGAGAGACCTTCTGCCAGGTACAGCCAAACAATGCGTCGTTCAAAGCATTTCCCTCTTGGCAGGTTATTTACCAGCAGCTTTTATCACTCTCCCTGAAGCTTCTGGTATAATTCTGTCAGATGACAACTGCTCCCAAAGTTTACCTCACTGAGACTGGTCTCAGCTGCTCGTTTCTCCTCAGGTGTCACAGTCCCAGAGTCGTTAGCCTAGTGAGGTCTGATCTCCTGCCCACAAGAATGAAACTTCCAGCAAGGTGGAAGAAATACACTCTCTCCCTACAGAATTTGAGAGTACTATTTCTGGCTGATGTCAAAATCCTACTTTGTGGTTGACTTAGTGCACGTATGGACCACACCATGTTCTTGGCAGGGTTCTGGGCCAGTTTATGGGGTTGCATTAAAAATGTTCCCACTACTGAAAATGCCTGCCAGATCAACCTGTAACATTTGCAGAGCAACAATATTATGAAGACTCTAAAGAGAAACTCGGCATCAAACCAAGCAACGTCCTGCAGAGGGCCAAAATGAGCCTTTGCAAAGTCTCGTGCGGGCGCGCACTTCAACATTGCAGAGCTGAGGGAAATTCAACATTTTTCAGATTCAAAAGAAAACGCAGGATTTAAAGGAAGTGGCTGCTACCCCATCACAAGAGAAGGAATAAAGCTCACTTAGTGTTAAGTAATTTGCTTTCAGGAAGGAAGTGGCTGGAATTTGACCAATAAATCCGAATTTGAGGCTGGTTGATAGCAAACACCAGCTGCAGGCTCCTACCCAGTCCCCTTGCCATCCAAGTCAGCTATGTTCCTGTCTCTTAAAGGAGGACTCCAAGGCTCTGTGATCTGATGCACAGCCTATTGTATGCTTTTCCTTATCTGGCACCTCCATGCCCCATCTATGCTGTCCCACCCTCTAGAAAGGGCATACTCTCAACATGCTACTGCGCTCAGTTCCCTCTCTTACTCTCAAAGAAGGTTTATTAAAATCTGTAAGAAGAATGACATTCAAACCAATCTTAGTGACACACATGCACATTGAAGTATCTACCAGCTGCCTGTTTATATTCTTTCATATTGTCAACTTTGCTTGTGACCACTTGCCCAATATCAGAAACTCGGGCTTGATGATACAGTCACTTTTAAAAGGAGGGAGAAATGAGCAGGTTACCTGGATGATTGATCACTAACTGCTCCATTAAAGCTTCCTGTGTGACCATCCCCTGAGTTGCATTCATGTCTGATCCGGTACAGCGTATTCCTTCTGACACAGAAATGGGGTGTGTCTGCGAGAGAGGATTCGGGAGAACAGGGCTCACATCACCTGAAGTCCAGAAGAAGAGGGGAAAAAAAATTGTTTGAATGCAACAGTGTTCCATTTTTCCTATTAGCTGTGACAGAATTTCACTGAAAATGTCTTGCGTTGCCTCAGAGCAAATGCTTTATCCTCAGCTCATTTTCCTTGGCAAAATACTCGGAAATATTTCTTAGAGAAGGGAAACGGCTCCAGCACTTTTCAAGTGCCTTTGTAATGAACAAAACAGGAGGTTACCTTAAGTTTGTTTGGTGTTAAATTCCAGCTTAAACCATCGTGTAGCTTAACAAGCAGGGAGTTGAGAGAGTCAGGTGACTGCTGACATTTTAGACCGTTTACATATGAAGCCTCGCAGTCTGTATTTCGCTAAGTAGCTGATGAAAAAGGTAACATCCAATAATTAAGTACAAAATCTTTTCCCCAAGGCAGAATGCAGGGGGAAAAAAGACAAGCGCCAGGCTTAGGCCCTTGTCTAGCACATGAATTTGAACAGTAATTCCTTTTTTAGATCAGGCTCTAGAACTAGAGATTTTCTACCTGATGGGGCAGAGGATAAAAACTCATTACAACTGCATGCACTGTTTAGCCTACACCACCATCTCTCTTGGTGGGAGACAGTAATGTTGTCCCTCTTCTGCATGACAAAAACAGAAGCTCGGAGTGTGACCCAGCTCCCTCAGTAACTGCAGCCCCAGCCTAGGAGGCTGAAAATGGTCCTTTGCCCCAACTCTCCCGCCCATAAAACACAAACACTTCCCTCTCCCCTTCACAAGATGACAAGGCCAGCAAGAGCAAGCCCAGAAAATACTTCTGACATGGTACCAGTGACGCGGAAAACCTGAAATACGTATTTTCCCTGAAAGCTGATGACAAAGCACGAAGCAGGCACTCACCTGAGGTCTGTCCATACAAGAAGACAATGACCACATACACCTTGTCAGACAAAATTAAAACCAACCCCTTTCTTCTTTTTTAAATGAGACAGATGGTTTGTTCCCACTACCTGGTGGTGTTCCGTGCTTCCCTGTTCTGTGCTGCACAGAAAGCCCTTGGGTGTCCTCAGCTGCCAGAGCAGGCAGAAGGCAGCAGGGCCTCCTGGTTACTTCACCAGGCAAACACCAGTGTTAAATGCCAACAGTAATCTTCCTGCAAGTAAGAAATAGCATTTTAGATTAAGTGATATTCATGTTCA